GTCCCTACCAGCCATTTTTGTAGGCATTAAACTGCCAGAATTTTAAAAGACGATATCTCCGTTTGCATTGAACTTTCAGCTTCGTAACTTTGCAGATATTGTTTATGCTCAAACAGCAACATTACACACTAACTAACGTTAAAAAAGGTGAAATTGCAATCAACCACCTCTTTAAAACCCAAGATTGATCTTTTGTGTGCAGTAGTCATAATAAGCTTTGTGCTTCACTTTTGGTATCAAACAAAGTCTCAGCTTTGAAGTTTGGACTCGGTTGTTAATTTTAATCTTTAATATTACTGATATTATCATATTATCACCAACTGACATGGTATAGTTTATAGCGTTAGTTGAGAGATTGTTTTTCTTAAGAAAAATGCACATGTTCTGTGCCTGATATTTGTCTTAAGTGAATCAAAATCAAATCCAATCGATTCAGGAGCTTGTGAATCGGAATTGAACCAATTGGTGAAATCCGTGTCAATATCCAGACTACTTTGGATGGGCAGAAATGCTTATTAATATAAATGTTCATTTTTGAGAGATTTGTGTTTGTTGATTTTAATGTCAATTTTTACAATTCCAGTGTATTTTTGTAATATTAATTTCCAGTTAACCCACTCAAGAGTGGTTCTCAGATGAAATGAACTCTTTAACAAGTCTCTTCTTGTATAAGTGGGCGATTCTTGGCCAGAACAAGCTGTAAATTGGTCCAGACTCTGTGGAAAGTCAGAAGTATAGCAGTGCGTCACTGGCGTTCCTCTCGCGCAGGCCTTGAGAGAGTGATACTGATCGTCGGTTTCTCTTACACTGTTATCATTCCGGTCTGTGCGGTTTGGATTTTCCTTCCTGAGTGGGGATGTCTGCTCACGTCTGACCTTTAAATGGCACCTTATTACGACTGTGTGCACACCAACGCTTATTAACGTGTGAACGATGTGTCGTCTGCGCTGGGATGTTTCATTACTGTCAGTGTAACAGTGGATGTCCACTCTCTGCTCTACATGCATAACCCACAGGCAGTTCATTAATCTGTGATTTAAATCAATACGAAACAGTCTAAAGAGACCGGAAGTACAATAATGCAGATGTGAGTGTAATTGGCACTGACAGCGTCTCCAGCATCCTCGGGGTCCAGCACTTTAGAGCACGAACGCAGAGCTGTCAATAAGAATAAGAGCTTTATAAGTCATTGCAGATTTGACAACATGCTCACAGCTCTGAGAAAATGACGTTTGCGCAGCCTTCTTATTTGCAGTCTTATTAAAATTGAGATTTTTTTCCTTCAAGTGCCACCAACAGCTCAATTTCTCAACTACGTTTTAGTTAATAACTTTTCAACCAAGTGGCCTAGAAATAATAATTTTTTCCTCTTCTAATTAAATGCAGCCTGGAATAGCAATTTCCATCGTATATTCTTTTTCAAGCTTTCATCTGATCGTGCTCAAACTTGGGATAGATAAATTCAACACAACGTTACTCAAATGTTGTTATAATTAAAAGCTTTTTGATATATTAAACTCTTTGTGTTTGATATGAATGTTAAAGGGTTAGTTCGCCCCAAAATGAAAATTATGCTGTGTTTTACTCACCCCCCTTGCATCCTAGGTGTATATTACTTTCTTCTTTCAGACGAATCCAGTCGGAGTTATATTAAAAATTGTCTTTGATCTTTCAAGCTCTATCGTTTTACTCAGCGGGTGTTGCATTCCTTCTGTCCAAAAGACGTGAAATAAAAAGCACCCTTCCACAAAAAAAAGTGTCTCACACGGCTCCGGGGGGTGAACAAAGGCCTCCTGTAGCGAATCGATGCATTTTTGTAAGAAAAATATCCATATTCAAAACGTAATAATCACTTTAATGTAGCTTGCGCCAACTGTTGTGAACGGAAGCAGTTCCGGGGGAATGACGTATGAGTTCAGCGTTGCGCATGCGCCGGTGAGTCTCGTGAAAACCAACGTTGCGATGACGATGTAAGTGTCGTTGCATTTTAATGTTTTTCATAGCTTATCCAGTTGAAGCCACTAGATGCAGTGCTGCTATGTTGTTCATTCAATATATTGCGGAAAAAGAGAACAATCAATGCGGAGAAGATATTGTTTATGTCAAAACTGAAACCAAGCCGTTCACACAGAACGCATATTTATCGCATTTTCTAGAGGGACATCTATCACCATTGCACTCGTGTCTCGCACAAAAGAGCCGCATGTTTAGAAAGCAATGTAAAATGAATGCAAGTTTAACTTTTAAAAAACACATCTCGAGACTTTATGGCGGTTTTTCCCCATCCCACTGCATCTCATGTTTTTAAAAGAAAAAGTATTCTTTGTGATTGGTTTTCAGTCCTTTGTATTAAACTACACCTACATACATGATGCTGTTTTGTTTCTAATCGTTTAAGCAACTTAATTAATTATATATGGTTTATAAACATTAATTGAAACATTATGCACTTTTTTTCAAAGGTAGTTGTGTTATTTTATTGCTTTGAAGAAACGTGCATTAGTAATATTTTGCTCGATGCGCCCTCTTGTGGCCTCAGGAGAGAAGCCAAAAGCTTAATTAAATTATGCCTCAAATATAATTTGAATATTTATATTATTAAAGTACAAAATTCGAATGTAGTTTTTCAGCCATTTTGACAGCCCGAATGTGCATGACAATTGCGATTTATCGTGCAGCCCTATCTTCTTGTCCAATCTTCATCAAAATTGGTGCAGATCATCTTCAGATCTGTCCTCACAAAAATCACATATTGAGTTTTTGGTGTTTGACACCGTTCTCCAGAAACATAAGGAACTTTCTGGTAAAGACGCGAAACAGAGAGTGAGGTTGTATT